GCTGCTCTGTTGAATTTTGCTATTCTTACTGGGGTGAGATGGTATCTCATAGTTGTCTTGAAAGGCAAGGATTTTTAAACTCTGTCTCATATACTTTGGGCATGTTGCCAAGAGGCACTAGCCCTTGGAGAGGAGTGGAGGAGAGGAAGATCTTGGAGGAGGTGGACTGACACAGTGACTGGGGGTAGGCGTGTCAGAGTGGCTCAAGACAGAGAAGGGTTCAGAGCTATTGTTCACAGGGTCACTATGAGTCATAGTCCACTCGACAGCACACAACAAGAAGTTAGTCTAGTAGAACTCAAGCAACTGCAGAATTTAAGTATCTTTAATACTTAATACTGGGACTGAACCTTGGTATATCTGGATTTATGCTCCGTGGAGTTAGCTGAGCAGTCAGTTTTGAGAGCATAGAAAAATGTTGAATAGCTGTGTTACAATCCCAAAGGCACACAAGTTCGAGGCCACCTCCTATCTGCGGGAGAAAGATGGGCAGTCTCCTTCCTTGTGATTAACTGCCTCTGAAACCCCGCTGGAGAAAGCTGACTCTACTGAACACAACCCACCACCACTCCCAGGGAAAGGGCAGTCCGTCTCATTTTTCTGTTCTTCCTACAACACCTGAAACCATACAGGCATTTAATGGACTTTGAGAAGTCTTTCTCATCTGAGGACTACATGGGCATGCATAAGCCAGAGAAACTAAAGAGCAAAAGCCTATGAAGCCATTCAATCCATTTGGGTAGAAGGGAAAACTGCCTAGGTCATAGACACCACTATAAAGTGTTACTTTTTTTTTAATGTGTGTACCGTCAAATTGGATCTGACTGGTACAGGAGGCGATTGTTCCTCCTTCTTCAACAGAGCATCTGGTGGATTTGAACCGCGCACCTCTCGGATTGCAGTGCAGTTTCCTGCCGCTAGGACAAAAGTGTTACCTTTGCTACTCATGGTAAGTTGTGAAACAGAAGTTAAATCTTAGTCTCTATTCTGGAAATTGTCATACTTAGAGAGCTTAAGTGTCAGTGTGAGAGGAAGATTCTCAACAAGCTGGAACTTCACAGTGACTGTAAAAATGTTATGTGCTGTCCAGTCAATGGCTCCCAACCACCTTAGAACAATGGCTTCAAACATTGCCCTATCCAGACTGTCTCTAACACACCTGATCCCACTGCCACAGTCACTGTGTCAATCCATCTCATCTAGGGTCTATCTCTTCTGCATTTCCTCTACTCTTCCAAGCATGATGTCCTTCTCCAAGGACTGGTCCCTCCTGGCCACGTACCCAAAATATGTGAGACGGAACTTTGCAATCTGCCTCAGGAGCAACCTGGTTTAACCCTCTCCAGAAGATTTGCTTGTCCTCTGGCAGTCCATGATACGTTCAGCTCATCTTGTGAATTCCTAACTGCTGGTGCCAATAGCGTTGACTGTGGACTTGAACAAGATGAAATTGTTAACCACTTCCACCCATTTTTCTCCATTGTGATGCTGCCTATTGGCCTGGTGGTGAGAGTCTATTTTGAGTTGCAATACATATTGAAAGGTGCAGTTCATGACCTTCTGCAGGAACGCTTCAAATCCTTCTGTTCTGGCAAGCAAGGTGTGTCATCTGCATAACCCAGGTTGTTGATGAGCTTTCCTCCAATCCTGAGGCCACATTCCTCCGCATAAAGTCCAGCCTCTCTAATGACCTGAAAATAGATTGAAAAGGTATGGAGAAAGGACATATCCCCTATACATTCCTTTTGTGGTTTTGAACCATGCTGTGTTCCCTTGCTGCTCAGACAAGTTTAGGTCCTAGTCTAGGTCTCATATGAGCACCATCAAGTGTTCTAGGATACCCATTTTCCTCAACGTTAAACTGTTATTTATCATGACCCAAACACCATTGTATAGTTGGTAACACAGACATCCTTCTGGTACTGCTTTCAGCCATCATCTATTTGACATTAGCTTTGGATGAAGTACAAGACAGTTCTCTGTAATTTATAGTTCTTGTCATTTTTGGATCATCTTCAGCAAGATTTGACTTGCACAAGATCCTAATGATACTATTTGATAATTTCCACATTCTGTTGGGTCACCATTTTTGGGGAATGGGAATAAATAAAATTCTCTTCCAGTTGGCCAGGTAGCTGTTCTCCTGATTTCTTGGCAAACCCCATGACTGTTAAAATGGGATCAAGTGTATCAGAGATAATGACGATGGCACAGGATAGGGTGGGGTTCAGATCCATTACTCATGGGCTAGAACTTGTCTTCCTGGAAGCTGTTTATGCGCACAAACACGTCATCTTTCAGTGTTTGCTTGAACTTAAATGTGTGGTGGTCAGCTCATGTGTGCTCAACAGCACCCAACATCATTTTGGAAGCTGCTTGTGTACACAAACATGTCATCTTTGTTTGCCTTGAACTTGCAGTGAGGTGAGATCACGTATGTTTATGTATTCGAGGAGGGGCTGCCAGCTCCTGTCACGTTTCCTGCTCGGGACACAGCTAATGAAGTATTTACTAGGTATGGTGGGCATGTAGGAGGATGCTAACTTGGAAGGCCAGCAGTTTGAACCCACTATTTTATGTAACAGGTAGCTTTTTCCACATAGCCTCAATCAGTGGTGGGCACTATGAGCCAGAAATGACCTGACAGGGGGTTAGGTAGGCATACATCAACAGGCACAGACTCCATCCAGTTCTCGTCACCTCTTTCTGGTCCTTACATGATTAGGGACCTCAGACTGGCACATGTACAAGAATACACTCATCTACAAGAATACTACAAACTGGTTTCTAGTCTTTGGCTTGGAGACATGAAAGCATGTACTTTATTACTGAAGTCTAGGGCTTCTGAATCTCTGAGTATTTTGTTTGTTTATTTAAAAACAGATGTCTGTGCTAGGCTAGTGTGATACCAACAATGCTGATGCTGTTAAGTGCCACTGAGTCTACTCTGATGCAGAGACCCTATGCACAGTGGATCTGAACCCTGCCCTATCCTGTGCCATCCCTAGCTAATGCAATTGGTCACTTTCGTGTCATTCATCATATCGGACATTACACGGGACTCCCAATTCCTAGCCTACCTTTCTGTGTGGTAATTTCTCCAACAGTCTTGGTTCAAAAGAGTACGAGATGAAGCTGCCAGCCACAGGCAGAAGAGGGTGCTGAGTGAAACTGCGCCAAAAAAGAGACTAATCATTTACTCACCTTGTGAGAACAACTTAAGAATATGACACTTAAAATCTAAGATTATTAAAAAAGGGGAGAGATACTTGTAAAATCATGAGCAATAATAGCTTGGTTCTCTCAAGGAATTTGTTTTTCAATTACCATTTTTCTCTCCCCACAATACACTTGTCTTCAACTGTTTTTGGAAAAGTGTTGAAACAGGAAAAAAAAATTAACCCTTTTATGGCCCACAGGACACATCCCGCCCAGTTTTAAGGTGTAGTGGGTAGATGCAAGCTCACTTTTTAGTGGATGCCACCATCTGGCGGGTCTGTGTAAGTGACCCCTGAAAAACGGGCCTCAACCTACCGACTCTGGCACCTCAGAATCTTCAGGGTGTTTCCCAGTAATTGTAAAAACTGCCTTACCTCAGTATTTGTCCATTTCATTAAAAATGTTTCCCATTACTGAAAACACAGAGCTTCACCAAATTCAATGCAGACAACAGTCTGTGGGATCCTGGGCTATGACTGGTCTGCCACCCAACTGCCTCCAACAGCTGTGCCAGTCCTCTCAGAGTGCCAGTCCTGCACGGCTGTCACTGCGGCCAAGGTGAGAGAGGCTCACAGCTGATCTGCTGGCAGGTTTTCTGAGGCTGTAAACTGTCTTTCTTTCTCCTGAGGAGCCACTCACTCGTGGAGTCAAACTGCCAGAAAGGAGCCACCTTTGGGTTAACTACTCTCCAACCAAGCCACTGCTGTAGACCTGCTAATTTTTCAAGGGGCAGCAGAACTGGACACATTAGAATATGACTTCAAAGTTACAACACTATGGAAATGATTTCTCCTTTCTATCATCAAGAGACTCATTCATTTTCTTCCCCACAAAGTGAGATACAAGAAAATCCTGTTTTTAAAAAAGTTTTTATTTTATCCTTCCTAGAGGATTACAAATTTGAATGAAATACATTCATTCCATAAATACATTAGCAGCAAAACCTTCCCGCCAGAGTCCTCTGTTCTGACCCAGAGACTGTGCCTTTGAACAGAACATGTTCTATCAACTGTCAACTCAAAGATGTGCTGTGTCTGCTTCCTGATGGAAGGCAGGTGGGTGTACGGGACAGAGACCAGGCAATGGACAAATTAATCAACTGTGACCCAGAAAACAAGCCCATGTGGGGAACATTAAGCCTCCTTTAACTTCCAGCTCCTTCGGCATTCACGACGCTCTCCAGTGAGGTCCGACACCAGAGACAACGGAGGACCTAAGCGAGCCAACACACCGACGTGCTGAGTCACTCGTTGCTTTACAGGTGGGTGTCAAAAAAAAACAACAAAAGAAAAAAAGGTGGGTATCATGTCAGTGGTGAATGGTGCTTTCACAGACTGAGCCAATCATGAACATTAGGGCATCCCTCTCCCCCTTCCATGGGCTGTAATCACTCAGAAGTCCTCATGCATCTGGTGTCAGGAGTAAAACCCAGCAGGCGTTATTGGGGCTGCTCTCCCGGATAGCCTTCATCTATTACAGTCGTGTCGAGGCCTAGAAAGATTCTGAGTAACAACCACCAGGTGGCTCACCTGGCCTGCCTGTAAAGCTCGCTTCGGAAGGGGGGGTGCAGGTGTCCCCTTTCCTTCCATCACTGTCTGCTGCTGGGAAGAAGCTCCTTTTTGATTAGTCCTCTAGATGTCTTCTGAAAATCTGGGTAATGTGATCTACCTGTAACTGTTAAGAGGGAGCGTTGGTGGTAAAATGAGCTCAGCAGACAGCTGAGGGGAAGGCAGGAGCTGCTTTAAGCCTGTCAGACGCAGTCAAAGAGTCCACCGCTGTGTCCTAACTGCTGGATGCTTCCATTACCACACGTCGGCAAGTCCTTTATCTTTTCCCAGTCAGTTCTGACTGCTGGCTGGAAGGACATCAGAAACCATTTAATACAAAAGCCACTGTAGTGGATAACTGGTTAACTATGTTTTTCCCTTTTGCATGTTCCATCCAAAAGTTTGCTTTTTCTTTTACTTATGTGCAGACAGAGGCTCATCTGTTGAGAACACAGCACTGTTAATCCGACACTCTTCCGTTCCCACTGGATCTGCTAACTCTTCCTCCTCGGAATCATCCTCCTCTTCCTCCTCCTGGGCCGATGAACTGGACGTGGGGCCTTTGCAGGTTTTCAGGTGGCGGGTGAGATGGTATTTGGTTAGATAGGCCTTTGTACATTTTTCACAGACATAATCCCGTTTTCCTTCATGAGAATTGAGATGCTTCTTCAAGTGATTTGTTCTCAAGAACAGCTTACTGCACTTGGGGCACTTGATTTGGCGTTCTCTAAGGAAACACAAGAAAGAACATTTGGTTTTGGAGTACCACCACCATGTCAGGTAACAGAACATTACTTGTACCCTAGATACTCCTTCCTCTCTGCCAGAAGTATCCACGAACTTGACTTCCACAGGAATGATTTTATCAATTTATTATGTGAGCATACCTACCCGGCATTAATCTGCCTGTTCTGGGAATATTATGTAAATGAGACTACAATGTTATATATTCACTGCCTATTTTGCTTCAGTCAACATGAAGTCTATAAAATTAATTCATGTTTCCAGAGTATTAGTAGTTTACCCCCTGTGATGGCTGGACACCACCTACAAATATACTTCAGCTGACCTGCACTATCTGAGCTGACAGACTTGTCACTAAGGGATCCTGGGGTAGTTTTCACTCTCTGTTGTCACAGTCAAGGCTGCTGTGGACTGTCTCTATGCCTGTGAGCCAGTCTTGACTCATCGGAGCTCCTCCAGGGTACACACCCAGCAGCTATATCCAGGGTCAAGGGTCTGGAGAGCTTCAATTTTACCAGATAAGGCAGCCTGGTTTTCAGGGTGGCAGTACCAATTTACATCTCTATCAACAGCCACTTGAGAGTTTCGGTTCTACTTTCTCACTAGCAACCGGAAAACAAAAGTGGAAAACCTCTGCCAGTTGGCCCATACATTACAGGATCTCACTGTAGTTTTCATTTGTATTTCCCTGGTTACCACTTTGATAAAACTGCCATTTCCACCACCTCCTTTCTTAAACAAGGGAGTGCTGTGGCTTATGAGTAGCAAACCGTGCTGCATACCAAAGGCCTGCGCCCTGGTGAATCCTATGGAGCTCCAGAAGTATCCGCAGCAGTTTTAAAGCCACCAATCTAACCAATCTTTTAATTTTACAGATGGGAAATGTAATGTGCATAAAAACTAAGTAAACTGCCCCAGGTTAAAAGAACGTCGAAATAAGGAATCTAACCTCTAGTTTGCTAATAGAGCAGGCTTTCCCCTCCCTCCCTTTCTTTCAAATTGTGATTTAAGTGAAAGTTTACCAAGCAAATTGGTTTTCCAGTTTACTGTTCATTTACATTTTGTTATATGGCATTAATTAAAATACCCAAATGCTGCCTGTCTACTGTTATGTGTTTGATTATTCTAAGCAGGGAGTGTTTCCCTGGTGTTACTGTTCACCTTGTTACAAGACCACCTACTGTTTGAGAGTTGAGCCACAGGTGGTGAATATTGTTCCAGGTTGAAAGGGTGACTAAGAGCAATAGTTTACTCCAGTGGGTTTTTATACGCCACTCAACACACATTTCCTGTACAACAGAGTGAAACCTGGGAGCCAGAACCCACTGGGGAAGCTCTGTGTTGCTACATCTCCCAAGTTTTCAGCCTCTGGCAGATTTTACTTAGGTTTACCAATTTCCTACACCTTGCTCTTAATGGAAAATATTTCCAAAGGATGATCAGGAAAGTGAAAAGGTCTTGAGAGTAAGAGTGTGTTTAATAACTTCAAGAAAGAGCTAGAAGGCTGGTGAGGCTAAAGCAAACTATGAGGAGTGATTTAATACCAATGGGAGAAGTAGCTAAGTATCACCACCACATCATAAACAAAACTCCCAGGCCACAGCAGGTCAGAGGCCATCAGTCCAAATCTGATGTGAAGCCACAAGAATTATGAGCAGAGATAAGCAGACTCTGACTTGTATCTTAAATATATCACTCTGGTCACTAGAGAGAGAATGTGTGTATGTGTGTGTATTTTTTAAGTATTTGTATTATGAAATGGATGCAGAGAAATAAGAGCAGAAGGTCAGCTTGAAGACAATGGAGGCAGCACAAGGAAGAGCTATGATGACTTGGACTAAGCAACAGTGCTCAAAGAAAGAAGGAAAGACTGAGTTAAGGATAATACCAAGAATTCAGGCCTGAGCCACTTGGGTGGAACCATTTACTGAGCTGGTGGGCACCAGGGGAAGGTCATGTTTGTGGATGTACCATCAAGAGCTAAGTTCCAGACATGTCAGGTTTAAGTTACCCAGTGGATATGCACAGTATTGGAGATGCCACCTGGTTAGACATCTGAGGCTGCAGACAGAAATCATACAGATGAATGTACACCAGAGGACTGAGCCGCATATAATGCTCCTCAGACTGTGTCACAGAGCATCTCATGTGCATGCAGACCAGCACACAACCCAGGAGGTCAGGTCCCTGCTCTTGCTCTCAGGTTCCTCCTTCCCATAGGGAAGGGCAAACTCTGTCGGTCAAGCCCTCACATTATCAAGGGGCACCGTCAGTGGGAAAGGAACTCTTTCTAGATTCGACTCTAGGGATGCAGCGTGTCCTTTCCTGACAGCTTAAATAGAATGCTAGCACTCTAACACCCACTCAAAAATGCTCAAAAGTCAAAATATAAACATAGGAAAATTTTGCTAATAATCTTCACCCAAAACCTACAGGACGGGGTAGAGGCACCACAGGGTTTCTTTACAGAACACACCCTTCTTTTTCTCTTTTGAGTGGCTGGTGGATTTGAACTGCCACCTACCTTCTGGTGAGTGGTTCCATTCTTTAACCACTCTACTACCAGAGCTTCTAATCATCTCTACGTCACTGCTGTTGAGTACCACTGAGTCAGAACCATCACAGAGCTGACCCTCCCGCTAGTTTTCAGATCCAGTAAATAGTATGGGAAGAGACTGCTCATCCTTTTCCAGTGGAGTCAAACCACATGCCTTACAGACAGCAGCATAGCTTCTTAGCCATCAGGCCACCAGATTTTCCTAATAAATTCCAAAGGGAGTTGAAAGTCCCATTAAAAAATATTTTAATAAGTAATGTTTCTTATAATGACAACTGATGCCAGATTTAAGTACTAACAGTCCAAAAATGCCTTCAATCTCTTGCAAAGGGGCTTATTTTATGTCTTCAATCGACAAAGAGTACAGACCCACATTTTTGGAAAGAATGAACTTTTCAAAGATCAATACTTTATTGATTTAATTCAGAGCCCAAATGAAGAGCAATAGTTCAATGTATTTCTCTCAAAACAATTTAACCATGTTAAAATGCAAAGTGGTTCTGGGCAGCATTGTAAAGAATAAAGAGTCAAGGTTAAGGAGGATAATGATTCTAATTTAAAATATTTGTTAAATTAATAAATGAGTAATACTGTTTGAAAACATGAATAAAACATAAAAACAGAGCATAAAAGTTTAAAAAACTAAGGAAAAAAACCAACTGGGTTTCCCAACCTTTGCTTGGCTACTTGGAACCCAAGAAGCATCCACGTGGGGCGAAGGCAGTAAAAAGACTTCCAAGCCCTCACTGTGGGGCTTGGCTGCTCACCACCTCCGGGCCATGCTGGCTGCAGGCACCCCCTGGCTTGTCACCTTTGGGTCATCCTGGCTGCAGCAACCTCATGGCTTGCCACCATCAGCCCATCCTGGCTGCAGTCACCCCCTAGCTCCTCACCTGCGGGCCATCCTGGCTGCAGTCACCCCCCAGCTCATCACCTGCGGGCCATCCTGGCTGCAGTCACCCCCCAGCTCATCACCTGCAGGCCATCCTGGCTGCAGGGAAACTTACTGTGTGTGGATGAGCACATGCTGCTTGAGGTCCTGTCTCCGCATAAACAACTTATCACAGTAATCACATTTGAGGTTCTTCTCGCCCGTGTGGATGACCATGTGGGATTCCAGGTGAGCCTTCTGGGTGAAAGACTTATCACACAAGGTGCATCTGTAGTTCTTTTGACCTGCACAGGAACCCAAGTCACACCACGAGTAAAGCAGCCAGCAGCATCTCCAGACGATTAGCATGTGCACAGGTACGCAGCAGGGGTAAGGATAATGCAGAACTGGCAACGGGCACAACACTTTCTACGGACGTCTACCTAGAACCACTAAGTTTCTGTTGGCATACTACTCACTAATATACTCAAACTCTCTCACGGCCATCAAGTCAGAACAGACTCACAGCGGGCACATGAGCTAGTTTTCGGAGGCTGCAAATCACACGGGAGGAGGTTTTGCATCTTTGCTTCAAGCAGCTGCTTGCTTGTGGGTTCAAACTGCCAGAGAGGTGCTGCCTCAGGCCAGATGCCTCTGCCTTGCCATTTCTAAAACCCCTAATGTCTTAGCAGTTTCTCACCACTTGTTCAAGAGGTAAAATCATAACGGATGGAGAAAAGGCTGAAGCTGTTGGTGACTTCATCTTGCTTAGATCCACAATCAATATCCTTAGTACCAGCAGTAAGATCAGAAAATGTGTTGCACTGGGAAAGTCACCCTGTGGGAAAAGGATGGGCAATTTCCTCTCGTGTGATTTACTGCCTCTGGAAACCTGCTGGAGGGTCAGCTATGGGTTTGTTCTGACTCAGCGGCACACAACAACAACAGGGTGTGACAAGCACTATTCTAAAGGAGAGAAACAAAGTCCTAGCTCCAGACTATAATGAAGGGACATAGATAATAGCCATGCAAATAATAAATTAAATGCTGGTTTCAGACAGTGGTAAATGCTGCAATGGAAATAAATAAAATAGGGAAGAGAGAAAATGACAGCAAGAGGGAAGATCTGTAGAAAGAAAGGATAAGGAAGGGATCTCTGAGAAACTGGCATTTAAGGTGAGCTGACGTATGGTATCTTCTCAAGATCTGGAGGATGATCAAACCAAGAAAGCTAAAACTTCGTCAGTTACTTTGTCATATTTTTTTAAAAAAAACTGCTAACAGAAAAGACATGGTTTATACAGAACTTAGAAATTAAAAGTTCAAAATGTTGGCAGCATTTATCGAACAATATTCCAAGCAAGGAAACAGGTTCCGGCTGAGCACTAAGCAGCACCAATTCAGCCAGGGACGAGCACTAGTGGAAGGCTCAGGATGATTCTATAAATGTCCTTTTGCTCTAAGTCCAAACATGCCTCTTTCCCAATTAATAACGACATTTTCCCAAGGACCTATAGACTATGGTGAGGGTGCACGGAAAGTGGAGTTTACTAACACTTCTGAAGAATCACAGCAATCTTAGTAAGGTTCTACCACCCGTGGAGGCCCTGGCTGACAACCAGCGGCGGGTCTCATTCTGCAACACCTTATCTCATGCCCAGCTGCAACACTGGATCTCTGTAAAGCCTTTTAATACCACAATCTGGACTTGGTGCAAAACCTCCAGGTCTACTATAACTTAACTTACCTGTATGTATCTTGAGGTGGGTCCGCAGGTTACTGGGGTCACTAAAAGCCTTACTACAGAAATCACACTTGTGGGGTTTCATGCCCATGTGACCCATGAAGTGGACATGAAGTTTGGAAGGAGATATAAAAGCTTGGGGGCACATCGAGCATTTCCACTTCCTTTCCTTGCTGTGGCTTGGTCCGTGGCTGCCGCTGTGGCCCTGGCTAGGAAGGTGGTTATGAATATGGCTGGTCAGATGTGCTTTGAACTCGGTATAGGAATTACACTCCTTGCCACAATTACAGAGATGCACGTCTGGATGCTCAGGAACACCTTAAAAGGAAAAAATTACTGTCTTCACATAGTTGTACTTGAAAGGTTTTCCTTACTGTTGAGGATTGCTGCTCACGGTCTCACTCTTATCAAAGTCTCCAGTTTGCCTACCTGTTTACCAACCATGTTCACTGTGCTCTCTCCCCTACACTGACAACCACATCAGGCACAGTGGAAGCACCTGCAGAATTAGAAGGTCTTCTTCCTTTGGCAGCACATATAAACACTATAACAACACCTGTCAATATGACTTCATGATATGTGGAAATCAGTGCAGGTTAAATCCACTCCTATGGCTTTTCTGTCCTTCAGGAAGTTAAACTTCAGTGATACTGGTTGAAAAAATTAGCTGCTGAAACGTCAAATTCCCCACATCAAAATCCTAACGTAGAAGTTCGTTTCCTAAGAACAGTATCTAGTAACTGACATTTAGTTTATAACAATCTCTTAAGACTTTATTAAGGACCACTACTACAGGGTAGTCAAATGACATGGAAATTATCCCAAAAATGTACTTTTAGCTTATTTACTATGCTACAGTCTCAACAAATTATTAGCTCACCAATCTGCTGAGCATAACCTCGACTGTAATAGAAAAGCAGTTCGTTTTCAGGAGGAATGTCTTGTGAAGTGCAGAAGTAGATTTTTCCATCATGGGGATAAGCCACTAAATTCTGTTCTTCTCGGTTCCTAAAGAATTTAACAATTCAAGCAAATTAATTATGAAATACATTCTAACACTTAGAAAGAGAAGTACTATATGAAACCTTAAATATTACTACTTTTCCTGGATCATTTCTTTAATTCCCTAACCTATTCATTGCTGTCAAGTTGGAATCAATTTAGCTGACCCTCCAAGTAGGTCTCTGGAAGTTATAAGCTTCAGGGGAGAAGACTGTCCATCTTTCTTTTGCAGAGTCCCTCATGGATTTGAACCTCTAAAGAGGCGCTGTGTACCTTTATGTTAGCATGGTAACTCTCTAGGGACTATACCATCAGAGCCTATTTTCTCTAAGTCATTAAACTGGACAATGACTAGAGCTGACAGAAGGAGAATTGATGCCTTTGAGTTGGGTGCTGGAGAAGAGTACTGAATAGACCATGGATCCCTAGGAAAACAAAGAGGTTCATCTTGGAGAGAGTGAAACCAGGCTGCTGTTGGAGGCAAAGATTCTGAAGCTCTAACTGACATACTGTGGACATGTTGCTAGGAATGACTAGTCTTTGCAGAGGGACATCATGCTTGGGAGAGTGGAGGGACAGCACAAGAGAGGAAGACCCTGGATGAGCTGGATTGACTCAGTGACTGGGGTAAAGGGGATGGGTGTGTTGGAGACCATGAGACTGGCTCAGGATAGAGCAAGGTTCAGAGCTGTTGTATACAGGGTCTGTTAGTTGCAAGTAACTTGACAGCACTTGATGACAACAATGTTAGGAGAGCTTATAGAGAAAACAGAATTCTTATTTCAACACATAAACTGACTGAATGCCCTTAATATCAGGGACATGAGAGGCTGTTACTAAAAGCAAAATCAAACAACTTGAAAAATAGCCACCTATGACAAACATGTGGAGCTTAAAAGCTTAATAAGAATTAGCTCTAATAACAGCCTGAAGAACTGATATACAGCCAGTAAAAAGATAAATTATTCATAATAACTGTATCCTTTCTTTATCAACACTTTGTTCATAAAGAAAGGCATTTTCTCACATTTTGATTCACAATTAGCATTATCCAAACTCGAATGAAGTGAACAAACGGAAAAGGCCTTGTGTGCACCTTTGACTCATAAGATGCTTAGCAACACTACAGGACAGAGAAGGACCACCCTGTAAGGTTTCCGAGGCCGCAGTGTTTGTAGACGGTGCCCCAGCGTGCAATGTCTACCAGCCTGAGTGCTTCCTTGGGGGAAAGATGTGACAGTCGGCTTCCATAACAATTTCAGCTAGGAAAACCTATGGGGCACTTTCTATTAGGAGTAAGAACCCACTCAAAGACAGCGGGTTATGGGGCTGGAATCTTTACAGAAGCAGATTGCTAGATCTTTTCTCCTCTGGAGAAAAGCCTTCAGTATTCCCAGACAACAGCATAATTTGGTTTTTTCCCCACATTCTCTCCCCCGCCCTCCCTGATTCTATACAAAGCTGCCTAGTGAAAAACAGAAATGCAACTATTTTCCTCAGATGAAGACGACTCTTACCTGGCTTTGCGCACAAACATCATCCAGTTACATTCATTTTCGTCAGTTGTAATGATGCAGAACTCCAGGACCCCGTTGTGATATATCTGCCAGCAGGAGGTAAACACAGATGTCAAACAAACTGACAGATGATACAAACTGCTACGACGCTTAGACTAGCAATCACCTCATTTATTCTGCCGCAGGTACAGCCTTGTCTTGTCAATGGGTAAACAGATGACTGCCTTCTCCATGTGGCTGTCATCTCACCTGTCCCCCTACTTCTACAACAAAGACTATGAGTGCTATAATTAAGTGTTCAGTAAGTAGAACGACTTGGCTCTTCTTGGTTTTTCACATTCCAAATAGTCTGGAAAAGATCATTCTATGTGTCACCCACCTCTGTCACACAAAGAACAGGTGAATGAATATGAACTGCGGTGTTCTATTTATTTTTCCTATTGAACCCGACATTCTGATCTGGATACCAGAATTAAGTCCCTAATATCATTTGCACCTTGTGTTTCCAAGCATTACAAGATCCACTTCCCCTCTACTACAACATGCAAGTATCATTCCCAACCCAGTGACTAAGTATATGCAAGTAAATTTTAAGAATAGTAATTTTCATCAAAAAATAAAGGAAAAACAAACTCCACTGCCGCCATCCAGTCAGTCATGACTCACAGGGCTGGCCCTCCATCAGGTTTCTGAGGTGGTAGGTCTCAATCGAAGGAGACCGCCTATCTTCCTCCTGTGGAGTGGCTGGTGGATTCGAACCACCAACCTTCTGTGTTGTAGCCTACTATTTGCCCATTATACTACCATGGCTTCTAATTTATGTCAATATCTTGTATTCTTAGCTTCTCTCATTTTAAAGCTGTAGAGAGAATCTTAGCTTCTGATTTTAGAATTGCTTCCCAGTCCAAATACCTGAGGAATGTTTTAGTTCACTACAATGACTAGCATGTAAGCAAAGTTTGGGGGACTCGCTGCCACAAGTAAAACACAGAATCATTTAAGAGACAAAAACTTATCCTCTATATCCAACAGCTGGTATTTGTCCACCAAGAGAAAGAAATTGCAAGGATGCAAGATTAAACAAATAAATGGCTGATGGGTAAATGGTACTAGATGAGTCCTAAAGAATTTTACTCTCATTAACTTTTAACTATCTTACTATAATAAAAACAGTAATTCACACACAAAAATAATTTCATAAATACTAACCTTCCAGATATGGTTAACTGCCTTATCTGTCCAATCTGCTACTTCCATGGAGTGACTTTGCTGGCCAATTAGAGGCCCAAAGCAAGTACGTACAGGAATGGTTTCTCCAGTCCAGACACCTGTCAACGGAAGGACATCCAATACACAATCAATGGTTTAGACAATAAGATACAGAATAGACAGCTGCTTAACTCATGTGGAGTTCTATTTTCGGTGAACTGAAGAACTGATATTTCAACACTCCTAAAGCTAATTAAGTCTTGTGTATGTTATACTGGTGGTGGTGTTAGATGCCGCTGAGTTGAGTATGACCCATAGTGACCCTAGGAACCTAGTACAACAGATCTGAACCCTGTCCTGTTCCTGATACAATAGAGCCTACTGTGACAGTTACTGTGTCAATCCACCCAGTTGAGGATCTTCCTCTCCTTCGCCAATCTACCTTTCCAAGCATCACATCCCTCTCCAAGGAACAGCCACTCCTAGCAACATGACCAAAGTATGTGAGGCAAAGCTTTATCATCTTTGCCTCCAAAGAGCACTCTGGCTACAACCTCTCCAAGACATATTTGTTTGTTCTTTTAGCAGTATTCTTCTCTAACAAAACTCAGAAGCATCAATTCTTCTCCTGCCATATTTACTCAATGTCCAGCTCTCAGATGCATAGCAAATCAATGGAAAGACCATGGCCTGTTATATAGTCTTTATACAGACATATTGGTCCTCAGTAATTTGGAGAGGTCCCTAAGTTTAAGACTTTCTCAGTGCAATAAATCTTCTGATTTCCTGACTGCTGATACCAAGGGTGTTAATTGTTGATCCAAGTACAAACATGTAAAATGTGATAAACAGATTAAGATGGTTAAGGAGAAATGTTAACAAAGAAGCAATCAACATATCCACACTGAAGAGAATATTGTTCTATTATCATAATAGAAAGCAATTACTGAAAAAGAACACAAATGTCTAAAAACTTGTTTGTCATTAAAGTACTCTCTTCGGATGGCGGGGAAGAACAAACAACTGGGGAGTAGGGTGGAGAGAATGGTGCGGCAATGAAGGAGTGAAAGCCCAGAATCCCTGTGAATGTTCATTGAAACTAATAAAATTTAATAATAAAAAAAAAAATAAAATAAAATAAAGACTATAGTATGTACCTGTTCTAAACCATGGCATTTCCCATTGCTTCCTATGCATCTGAAGGTTGGACAATGAATAAAGGAGACAAAAGAAAAAAAAAGTTTAGGTGTTTCCAAATGTCTCCTGACTGAGTATAGATGAAAGAATAATGACCCCATTTTACATTTCAAAGAAATGAAATCGTAATTCAGAAGCTGTATTGAATTTATATAAGAAAAAGTATACTCTCCAAGTCTTATTACCTTTTCCTAAAGGTGTTAAAACAATTTACAAATACTGAATCTAAATTTCTCTGTGGAAAACAAGGTAATGAAGCACATTTTTCCATGTTTCAGTGAAAGAAACAATTTCAAGAAGAGTTTTGTCATGATAACTATTAGTGGCTGACCCAGCTGAGAAAGTCAATGCTTATTAAAGAGGCGAGGATTCTCTTCTCTAGTCACTGTTGACATTAAGAAGGGGCAAACTTCCCAATCAATTTTTTAAACTGATTTGTGGCTATCACCCATGGAGAATACAATTATTCTCTAAGTAAGCCTTTTAATCAGAAACTGACTCTCCCCTCAGCTGAATAAACCCTGAACTACAGTTACATTTACAACTCTCCCTTACGGAAGAAAGAAAATCTGTGACGTTCTCTGATTGCAAGGTGCTTACCGACATCAGCTCCCACAATCGACTGGCGGAGAACAAGCTGCTTTGGGAGAGAAAGCCGTGCTCTGCTCTCTATGGGAGCGTCGGGGACAAAAGTCACTGGTCCGTGATCTGGGCAGTCTGAGGGATAGGCTCGGTCACAAAGAGTGCACCCTGTGGGAGGGAAACGAGGAGGCACAAAGGGGTTTAGGGCATGAATGAGAAATTAGCACCTGCTGTTTAAATGTAAATGCTAACTACTAAAATGTCATCAGTAAGAAGCAAGGGGCTCATCACAGGCCTCCTTTTTTTATTTGTACATGTTGTGTGTACCATCGAGCCAGAAACAACCCACAGTTGATCCTCTAGCAGGTTTTCAAAGGCTGGAAATCACATAGGAGGAGACTGTCCATCTCTCTTCTGCAGAGCAGCTGGTGGATTTAACTATATTCCTTTGTGGACAGCACAATTCCTTACCTCTCAGCCACTAAGTGGGAGAAGGATGAGCAATCTCCTCCCGTGTCATTAACCGCCTCTGAAAATCCACCAGAGGGTCAGCTATGGGTCAGTTCTGACTCGATGGTCCACAACAAGAAGCCACCAGAGCTCTCTAAACTAGTATATGGATACACACACACACACACACACACACGCGCGCGCGCGCGCACACACTCACTCTCTCACACACTCTCATTCTCTCTTCTGACTTCAACAAAATTTGAATTTTTTCCCCTGCAAAAGACAAGTTTATTATTCAGTACACAGACAAGAACGGATTTAAAACAAGAACAAAACAACCAGCACCCTTTCAACTAAGTATTCTTGATACCTTAACATCCAAAAGCTTTAAGTTCTAGGGAACTCTAAGAGTTGCTTACAGAAATGCCTTGAGTCACGCAGGGATAAATTAGCGATGACGTTACCAAACAGGGTAGTCAAGAGTCCCCTCCACCACTGTCACCATCTCTGCATTTCAGCTTGCTCGGTTCTACAATCAACACTCTTGGCATCAGAAGTCAAGAAATCAAAAGATGAATTGCTCTGGGGAAAGCTACTATCAGGGACCTCTCAAAAGGGGAGCAACAATGTCAGTCTGGAGACTAAGGCATACCTGATCCAGGCCATGGTCTTCACAATTACTTGCTATGCACGTGAGCTGGACAATGACCAAAGATGACAGAAGAATTATTGATGCCTTTGAGTTATGATGCTTGAGAAGAGTATTAACATACCATGGACTGCCAAGAGAACAGGTTTATTCTGGAGAGGGTGAAACCAGGGTGCACCTCGGAGGCAAGGATTTTTTTTCCTCTCTTACATCAGACCTGATGTCATAGCAAGGTTTATAGGAGGCACGTCATACAAAAGCATGAACACCCAATCATCATACTTATGAACCAAAAAAGGATTGAGGCAAGGATTCTGAAGCTCCCTCTCATTCTTTGGCATGTGGCCAGGAGGGATCAGTCCCTGGATAAGGACATCATGCTTGGAAAGGTGGAGAAACAGAGGAAGATCCCAGATGTGATGGACTGCTACAGTGCTGGAGTATGGGGGTAGGTGTGTGAGAGTCAGTGAGACTGGCTCAGGATAAAGCAGGGCAGGCAACTCAAGGACACACAACAACAACAAACCTTAAAAACACAGTCATCGGAGTTGTTTTTTCACCTCTTAAGCAACAACATGACAAACAGAAAAGATTTAAGTTCTCTAGGATCCATTACAATCAAAGCCCATGGAAGCATTAGTCAAGAAATGGAACAATGTGTCAGGCACTCTGGGCAAATGTGCTGCAAGGGACCTCTTTAACGTGCTAAAGAACAAAGACATCACTATGAGAACTGAAGGATCTCCTCACTCAAAAAGAGAGAAGCTGCAGTCTAAGGGCCAAGCAAGCAACCAACCTCACTGCTGAGAATGACACAAGCACAACCCAGGTGATGCTTGGCACGTGGCTGTCTACGTGAGCCCTGGGGTGCAACTTTCTATAGAAAACTTTTTCAATTAAAAAAATTCTGGACTGATCTCTCTGGATTTCAGTAACTCTTTTTATGGGATCCATACCAGATTGTTCCAAGGGACATTCAGTCATTATAATATCTGCAACTCCAGCTCGTGCCTTTAAAACTACCCCAGCTACTGGCCTGGTAAACAACATTACAAAAACACATAGGGATGACTTAATTATCCCAGCATACCCAAGTGGCCAATAAACACATGAAAAGATGCTCAACATCATCAGTTAGTAAGTAAATTAAACTCAAAGCCACAATGAAATAGCACTTTACAATCACTAAGATGATTATGAAAACAACAAAAACCAAAAACCAGAAAAACAAGTGCTGGCAAAGACAGTATTTCTGGAACCTGTTTTACATCACTGGTAAAAATGTAAAATGGTGCAGCCACAATGGAAAATAGTCTGGCCATTTCTCAAAAACTTAAACAGAGTAATTCCATTCCCGAATGACACATATCGAATAGAACTGATGACATATAGTTATATAAAAACTCATGTAATATATACATGTTCATAACACATTACTCATAGTAAAAACATGAAAATTACTCAAATGTACATCTACTGATAGATGGGTAGACATGTGTATGCATGTAGACTATTGCCTAGCCATAAAAAAAGGAATGCAGCACTGACATTTGCTACAACATAAGCGAATTCTGAAAACATTACGCTTAAGTAAAAAGCGACAGACCCAAAAGGACACATATTGCATGATTTCATTCACATGAAATGTCCAGAACAAGCAGATCTACAAGAGCAGAAAGCGTATCAGTAGTTACTGAGAAATGGAGAGCAGACAGAATGAGGAAGGACAGTAAATGGCACGCAGTTTCTTTCTGGAGTGAGAAAATGTTCCGTAATTAGAGTGGTGGTGGTGCTACCATCTTGTGACTCCTCAAAAAACACTAAATTATATATATATACACACACACACACACACACACACAGACGAATTATACCTCATTAATATTTTTAAAATCACCCACCTTTGACTTGGTAGCATAACTTTCTATCCATTAGGCCAACAGAGCTCTCATTGTTGTTAAGTGCCGTTGAGTTGACAACTCATAGCGACCCTATGAGCGAAAGACCTGAACACTTGTATAACTTTCATTTAATCTGTGGCCCTCAGGCCTGGTTTTAATTTTTTTGGGTCAAACAATCTTCTAGGTGGTACAGCACTGGTCTGTCCATTTGCTGTACAGAGGTAACTCATGGTGGCTGTGATGCTAAACACTATGTCACTGATGTGTCAAATGCAATAATGGTTACCCATGATGGACAGTGTTTGGTGGAGCTCCCTGATTAAAACAAGCTTGGAAGCAGGAGGAGCATCTACTTCTGAAATTGCTTGCCTCCAGAAACCCTATGAACTTGGAGAAATGAGGAAAGTTATACAAGTGTTTAGATCTTTCTTTCACAGGATCGCTATGAGTCATCTGGAGGGCACTTAACAACAACAATGAAAGTATACTTAGAAGCAAAGAAGTTTCACTTGCAAGCATAAAAGTAACAGATTTATCAAGCATACTAATGGCTTAAATGAATTAGTCCTGATTAAACTACTCAAAGATTATACATTTGTGACAGTAAAAAGTTAATACAGATAAATCTCACTGCTGCCTGGCTTCTGTGGAACCAGACCATCCTAAGCTTCCTCCTACTAACCTCCCATTCAATCGTTCTGTAAGCCCTTTTACCTGATGGCGGCCTCTCTTTCTCATTTCACCCGATGATTAACATTGAAAAGCTGATAATCCCTGACCATTCCCAGATAGACAGATATTGTCCTGAATCCCACACCTAACTTCTCATTAGACATCTCTATCAGATATCTTGTAACAAAGAAATCAATGTATCTGAAAGTGGACCCACTGACTGGGGTAATGAGGGTAGGCGTGTCCAAGACAGTGAAGTCAGCACAGGATACAGGAGGTTTCAGAGCTATAGGAATAGGGTCACTCTGAGTCGCAACCAACTGGTACATAACAACAACTCTTCCTCTGATATCCACTGTCAAATGAAGATCCCATGGGCTACCAAAAGGATATCTTGAAGAAAGTACAGCCAGAGTGCTTTTGGAGGCAAATATGACAAAGCTTTGTCTCACATACTTTATGCATGTTGTTAGGAAAGTCTATTCTTAGGAGAGGGACATCATGCTTGGTAAAGTGAATGGTCAGCTAAAGTGAGGAAGACCCTTAACCAGGTGGACTGACAAAGTGACTGCAGCAATGGGCTCAAATATGTCAGAAATGAGGTGGCACACAACAGGACAGGAGTCCAATCTGTTGTCATTAGGAGTCACACTCAAGGGCACTTAACAGCAAATGAATGGTACCATAATCTATTTGGTTCTTCATCAGAAATCAAAGTGTTTTGTTTAACTGTTCCCTTCCCCAACCTTATCTAAGTACAAGTCTTAACTCTGAATATATCTCTTAAACTCACCCACTTCCTCTTATCCATGTTTATCTTCACTGTACATTGTAAAATCAGTCACTTCAATTACTGTATTGTATTCCTAGCTGGTCTACATGGCACACTTTGTACCAAATGCCATTTTCCCCAATGCCTCCGTTCTTAAAACCCTCCACTGTCTTAGAATGACCTTCTTATTCTGGCTCCCATTTCTCTTATCCACAACTCTTCCTTCTCTAGCTCCATTTTAGGCTCGAAGCATTCTAACTCCTCCGTAACTCTTTAGTGCTAAACACTTACGTTGTCAGTCCCTGTCTTCACACTGTTCTTCCGGATTCCTAACTGCCTACCTTTTGATTTAGTTTTAAGCCCGGTGCCAACACATACACTGCCTCCCCTCTAAGTCTTCCTGATCATTCCCTGGCCTGGTTAGATGGTCTCTCTCAGGTTCTCCTAGCAGCCTGTACAGCAACAGTCTGTTTACTTGTCTATTGCTGCCACCAGACTAAAACCTTCAAAGACAAGTACTACTTAAAGGACCACTTCCTCCCAGCATCTAGCACAAAGGCTGGCACATAGCAAGCACTCAACACGTTTTCTGCATGAATGAAGTAATGCCAACTAACAGACCATGATCTAGTGATTTTCTTGCCCATAAAAGGAATTTTCACCTTTCCAATTATGGTAATTTATGTAGATTCTAAAAAAAAAAAAAAAGCATCTCCAGCCACCTACATTTTTATTTGGGGACAGAAGTAACCTAACAGGCTTCTTTTTTGCCATAATTATGATGTAAAAATGCAAAGTTCATAGAAAATATCTTCCTTAAATTTATTCTTATCATTAACCATCATTCATTGTGAAACCCTGGGAAAGACCTTAAGCATTACTGATGGACCTAATCTGTAAAATACAGAAATGCCTACTCCGTATTTCTACTTTTAGGACAAGAGGCAAGAATGAACTTAAGTCTAAATTATCATCTGGCTTACTGAGGAAATGCCACTACATTAGAATACATAGTACAATATAAAGGTGAAGAAAATTTCCAACATTTAGTTGCTTTTTATACTTCCTTAATCAATACTTGACCATACAATTAAGTTTGTTAAGCCCCTGATGGCTCTTACTACCAATATTCCCAAAAGAAAAACATTAAGCACACTCACAAATTGTAAACAAGGTTGCCATATTTTCCTTGTTTGAATTGGAGTCTTCCATTTGCAGTGAAGGTGGTACAAAAGACAGACTGTCTGAAGATACATCTACATGACCCGTTCCCATCGCAACCTCCTGGGAGATGGAGGAGACTGCCACAGGTTCTAGGCTGAGGCCAACTTCATGGAGAGAAACAGATTCTAAGGAGGCGAGGTTGTGTGAGGTAGAGAGTGCCACGCTTACAGAGTTGGTGCTCATGGCCACGGTGTGGATAGAGTCACTGAGGGTATTATCAGATATCCCGTTGACACGACTTGCAATGTGGTCTGTTTCCATGACCACAGGGAGCTCCAGGCCATTCCCGTGAATGGGTAACACACCACCATGTCCTACGGCGTCTGCAGCAAGATTGTTGCTCACAGAATCTACAGAAAGAGGTTCATGACTTCTAGAGTCATTTGGGATTTGGGAATGTTCGCCTGTGACACCATCCATTGTAAGCTCCTCTGCCATTCCATCTGTGGAGATCGGGCTGGTTACCCTAGAAACGTTCTCCATAGTGATTGTTGAGTCCAATGCCACCTCGTGACCATCACTGGGATGAAGACTTTGGGTACCATGTGTGTTCACAGAGCGAGAGTCTATTGAAACAATGCCTGGTTCTAATCCAACATTTCCATTCGACTGATATGGATCTAGTGCTGAAGGGTTATTGGTGATCGATAATGCTGTATTACCATCAACATTTATAGAGTTTGGGTGGATGTACTGAGGAGGAGGTCGGTCAGCCAAGTAAGATAAAATGCCTGAGAAGAAGAGATGAGACATCAGGGACTTACTGATACATAGTTAAATATGTAATTCTCTACCCACTTCTTCTGTTGATCAATATATATACTTTATAAATAAATAGCAAAATATATAGTTTTTCCTGAGAAACTCATAAAGTATAAAACATTCAACTGTATTTTTATGTCAACTGATAATTAATGATTTAAATGCTGCCTTTACGATATAAGAATGTAATTCCTGCATTGCAAAGTGGACTGGGAGAGAAGGAAGTGAGGAAAATGTGCAAAAATGAATCAAAGTATGAACCAGAAAAAGAATTTCTGTGTCCTAAGATTCTAAAAATGTGCTATCCAAGAGATTTCCTAATGGAAAGGTAAATGATTTAATGGCCAATCTTCCACTGTGAAAAAAAAAGACACGTGTGAGAAAGGCAGGGACAACACTGACACTAAAGTTAACTCTGCAATAAGGGATATACCTTTAACTTGCTGGTCTGTCTGATACTTCTCTAAATCTGAACATTTACATTGAGACAGACTAGGAAGAAGGATTGGCCATCCACTTCTGAAATAGCAGGCCTCTGAAAACCCTATGTACAACAGAACACATTTAGATAACAGAAACGGCAAAGGAGGTTGAGTTTTCAAGTATGGAAATACAAAGGAAGAGGAACAGTTGTAAGCAGAACATACTTTGGACATGTTGTGAGGAGAGACCGGTCCTTAGAGAGGGACATCATGCTTGGGAGGGTGGAGGGAAAGCGCAGGAGAGGAAGGCCCTCTATGAGGTGGATTGATTCAGTGACTGGGATAATCGGGATGGGAGTGTCAGAGACAGTGCGACTGGCACAGGACAGAGCGGAGTTTAGGGCTGTTGTACATAGGGTCACTATGAGTCGCAGGCGACTCAACGGCACGTAACAACAACAAAACAACAACAATGTTTTAGAGTATCATGATACATTGTGCATTATTCAAAACTAGCCTTCATTGAACCAACATAATCAAAACAGAAAATAAAAATCTCAACTCTTATGCTTGTAAGAATGTGGTAATATGATACTTACATATTGTCAGTAATGTATAAATTACTAAACCCCTGTGGAGCAAAATCTAACAATATAAATATGAGGGGAAGACCCTCTATGAGATGGATTGATTCGGTGACTGGGGTAATCGGGATGGGTGTGTCAGAGGCAGTGCGGTTGGCGCAGGATAGAGCAGGGTTTAGGGCTGTTGTGCATAGGGTCGCTATGAGTCGAAAACGACTCGACGGCACATAACAACAATAACAATGGTAATTTATCTTAAATATGTTTTGTACATCTTATATACAAAGATATTAATGAAAATATAATCATAATGTTGATAAACAAAACTGGAAAATAACCATTAAGTTGTTGCTAATACTTGACTAAAAAGGCTAATTATAAAAATTACTAACAGGGAAAAATAATTATATAAAAATATATTAAGTGAAAAAAGATAAGAATATATAAACACATAGAAAGTATTATGAATGTTGTTGTGTATCGTAGAGTCGGAACCGACCCTCAGGATTGCAGCGTAGCTTTTTGCCACTAGGCCACCAGAGCTCCTATTAAGAATAAATGGTAAAAATTTCTACACTGAAATAAGACATAAAGGAAATACACCTAGAAAGTGGAGATGATAAAACTGTGAACAGTTGCCCTTTCTTAATTTGCTAAAATTTACTAGTAATAGAATATAAATTCAGTAAATTTTATAGTAATGATGTCACTGTAACAAGATGTGATAGAGATTATAATTACAAAATGGTAAAACTGAGTTAAGGAAATGCAGGAGCAGTAAAGAAAGTTAATCCACTTAAATGACATTAAGAAATTACACTTAGTCAAAACTGCTCTACTGATTATGTGCTAGCTACCTAACTACACATTCTAAGAACAAAATAGAAGCAAACACTTTCTCCCCTCATCTAAACTTTAGTAGCTAATTAGTAATGGGTAGGGGGAAAAAAATATTGTGGAAAAATTAAAGCTTAAGATTTGGCTTTCCCCCCTAATGCCCATGTAGCTACTATACTTACCAGGTAGAATGGTCCTGAAGTAGCTGCTCTCCAGGTGAGGGTAAGGTGATGGAGGCAGGGTATAGTTTCTTTCCGGTAATCCACACATCACCCCTCGATCACCAATACCCATTGGGAGCATCAGAGACAAAGCAGAAGGCAGAGAACTCAGAGAGGGACCAAGGTTTGGAATTGCTACTGGCAAGCCTACCAAAAGAAGGAAAAGTTTTCTTTTCATTAAACAAAATTTAAAAAAACTCTATACTGTCTCTGGCTACACTCTCAAAATGCTTTTTCATAGAAACAAAAATCTGAGCTAGTTTTCTATATTAAAAAACTAAACCGAAACACCACTATCTTCAGACACGTAGCAATAATAAACAAAATGAGACCAAGGAGTCCTAATCCTCAAGTTCGTTCTAAGTGGAGCCCTGATGAAGTAATGGGTAAGGGCATGGCTGCTAAGTCACAAGGTTGGTGGCTGAAATCCACAACGGCTCCAGGGCAGAAAGATGCAGGACTCGGCTTCAGTAAAGATTCACAGCCATGGAAACCTTGTTAGGGCAGCTGTATTCTGTACCACAGTCACTAGAAAATGCTAAGTTAATCTTTCCGTTATTTCTCTTTAGTACCAAAACATTTATTTAAAATCTTGTTCAAATACACTTTCAGGGGACTGGCCAATTTTGTCACTGTGCCAGGCTTACCTACCTAGAGCACGTTCACGAGCAGCTGAAAATGGAAATCTCACCACTAGGAAGAAAAGAACGGCAGAGTCCTGCTCCCATCAGACTGGGTTCTTAGACAGCAGTGTCAGCAGCAGAAAACCAGGGTCAGAGCTGGACTGAGACTGCCACCACATGGTGCTAGAGCCAGAGTTGGGGCCAGAGCCAGAGGCCTTTGCCCAAACTTGCTGACAGACGGGAGGACATAGTTGACAGGACTGAAAAACCTGTGTAACACTAATCCAGAGTTGAGAGGCTGATGGTCAGAGAGCCTGTGAACACTTTTCAGAAGCTGTCCCGATTGAAGAATTATATCCTGTTTCCTACCTAAATTAACTTATTAACTGCCCTAATAAACACATAATCACATATGGTCTGAGTTCTGTGTGGCTACTGCAACGTATCAGCAGACCTGACAGGACAGCAGCCAAGACTCTTGGAAGGGCAGGGTTAGAACTGATAAAAGTGTGAGGAGTAGGGGGACATATCTGACCTCAAGGGACAGTTTTGGGCTGTGGATGTTGTTGATGGAGATTCTTCTTGCTTGTGTAGTGGAGGTCAGGTGCAGACACCTCAATGTTGGCCACACTTTTTTATACATTTTTTATTTTATTGCATTTTTTGCATTGTGTTGTTTCTGTTAGGTGGTGTTAACTCTAGTATGACTCATAGTGACCTTGTGAACAAAAGATCTGAACTCTTTTCTATACTGTGCCATTCTCACACTTACTGACAGAAAAGAGCCCATTGCAATTCACTATTTCGCTTTTTAAAAATTCACAAAATCAGGTGCGGGGGGCGGGGGATAGTGTACCAATGAGGGAGTTTTTCTTTTGCTTTTCAAGGAGAGGAGCAAATGGGGGGGAGGGGGGAGGGGTTTGTGCGGGGAGAAGGGTGCAACAATGAATGAATGGAATCCCAAAATCTCTGTAGATGTTCATTGAAATGAAAAATAAACAACCTAAATTTAAAAAAAAAATTCACAAAATCTTCAACTTGAAAAGGTATCTAATTTAGATGTAAATAATACATACATATTTATTTTTACAGTCTTTTATATCTGTACTGTACCTCACAATATAAAACAATGGATTGTAACTACTTTCTGAACTGAAGTGAGCTCTTCTGTGCCTAAGTCTCATAAGGAATGCGTACCAAAGTCACTAGTCTTGATCTGTAGTTTTGCCAGTGGTAGTAATTTTTTTTTTGGCATCTGGCAAACATTTATCAGATGTTTGTGGTTGTTGCAGTGGCAGTATTTTTAAAATAAGGTTTTCTCTATAACAAGACAATCTACTAAAAGGAATGCCTAAGAAATCAAATAGGCTAACAATTCACAAGAAATAAACATTTTTCCCAGGGACACATAAAGGAATGTGAATTTTACTTAACTGCTATATTTTGCTAACTAGGCAATAGACCTCTTTATAAAATCTCTTACACATGAACTCCTATTTTTTTTTTAAGTTCAATACACTTTTCCCTAACACAATACTGTTAAAAACAGTTTTCTGCCTCATTTTTCATTCCTACTGAAGTAGAAAATAAACTGTAACCCTTGACAAAACAGCAGATTAAGTACAGCTCAAGGAAAAGACAATCTGAAAAATTCTTACCCAGTCAAGTCCAGTTCTCTATAGCAATGCTCCCTTCCACCATGTTGAGACGTGAAGGACCATTCAGGCCTGCTTGCCTCCTCCCGCTTTAAAGGGGCTCTGACACCCTGTCAGCTCTAGTTAGAACAGAGGGTGTATTCAGTGTCACCACTCACCTGGGGCAGGGATAGTATTGTGAGTAGGTGAGGCAGCCAAGCCCAGGTGACTTCCAGAGACTGGCAAGGCATTGCTCACAGAGGATGAAGTCAGCTGCTCCATCCCCACTGGGCTGAGGTTCATGTCATTCATCCTAGAAAACACCATACACAAAGAATTAGGCAAAAACTAGCCCGTGATTGTTTTAAGATACTAAGAACCTACAAGGGGGGTTAGAAAGGTTGACCAATGAAACTTGGATTTAGAGACAGTAACTCAGTCACAAAGGTTAGAGGTCTACAATCTCGAAGACCTGTGGTTCGAGGTCACCATCTCCTCCTGGGTAATTAAATGCCTCTGATAACCCTCCAGAGAGTCAGCTATGGGTTGGTTCCAACTCTATGATACACAACAACTCAGTTACATAGACTGTAAAGGTCAAAATAGGACTTGAACTCAGACATGATCTAAGACATGCAATGTCATAAAAAACGAAGTTTGCAACTTTCAGAGCACATTCACAAAAAGTTGTTCTTTTTTTAAAAAATCACCAAATTTTCTTTCACAACGCTTCCTCCAACTACACTGTTTCAAACCGGCAGTTTCAATAGGTAGCTTGTCTATTTATTTTTTAAGTTTATTTAAAGAGTTTTATTGTTGCTGTGTAGCACTGAGTCAGAATGGACCCACAACTAACCCTCCAGCAGGTTTTCTGAGGGAGTAAATCATAAAAGAGATTGCTTATCTTTCTCCCGAAGAGCAGCTGGTGGATTTGAGCCATGTGTGAACTTCTGAGTTAGAGTTCTGGTGGACTAATGGTAAGAAGCTGCACTGCTATCCCAAAGGTACAAGGTTCAAATCCACCAGCTTCTCTGCAGGAGAAAGATAGACAATCTTCTCCTGTGTCATTCACTGCCTCTGAAAACCCGCTGGAAGGTAAGCTCTGAGTCAGTTCCAACATGACGGTACATAAAAACGAGTTAATCAAAGAACATTAGAGACTCCTTTCCCACAGGACTTAGAGTGATGCCAGGCCAATCAGATGGTCAATGGTGTGAAGCAGCACTGTTATTTTTTCCATGAATTAATGCTATCATAATTCTGTATCAATCATCTTCAAAATATCTTCTACAAATGAAGGAGAAAGATGGGCAGTCTCGTCCTAGAAGAGACTTGGCTTGGAAACCCAACGGAGGATCACCATGAGTCAAGAGGGACTAGACAAGAGCGGGTATTTATATTGTGGGGTATATTTAAGTCTCACAAGGACTTGTTCCCTGCATTACTCTATATCCACAGGGTTCATCCTTAACCCAGGCACATACCTCATAGAATTGAGTTTCCTGGCAGTAACAGAGTGTACTAAGCCAGTCTAGTAAAGAATCCTGAACAGGAATTCAAGCTCACAGAGACCCCACATGCTGTGAGTAGAACTGTGCCCTATCAATGGCTAGAGTTTCCAACAATTCTCAGGAAGCACTGACAGATCTCTGCTGAGGCACCTGAGTGAACCAAAAGCTCCAACGTTTCAGTTAGCAAGTGAACATGTTAATCCTTGCATCTCCCAGGGACAACTCTAATAAAACACGCCACACTTCCTTTATGTACAATTCAGTAACCTCTACAATCCAGTGTCTCTACTAACAAATTTTTGAGTTGCTATTACCAATCTGACCCCATATAGCTCTTTACTAAGGACTCCATGTGAACGGAACGGGAACTGAAAGTATTTCATTTGGATGGAGTAACAGCATAGCATCATCCTTATCGGAAACACAAGGAGGTACACGGCAAAGGAAACAGACTTTTTTGAACAACAGCCCATTAATAAAAAGTATTTTATTAAACTCCTTGGAGCCTAAAGAAATCAGAGCCAACTTAATTGAACCGCAGGAGAAGTGAAGCCTTTGTTAGCAGAACTTGATATAGACCACCAACTCAGACTATATCCAAGTTCCCTGGACGACTCGTAGGTCTTCTCAACTCGTTCAAACGGCAGTTGAGGCACAGATTTCTGCTTTACGTGTGACGCAAAAATGCACTGACTTCGGCAGCCATAAACCAGAGGTGGCTAGTATACTACGGAGACAGGACCAAGGGAATGCACAGTAAAATCTTCCTAAGTATTCCTTAAGGTGCCCTGGTGGTGCCCCAGTGAAATACTCAGTTACTAACCAAAAGGTCAAGAGTTTAAACTCACCAGCAACTCTGCAGGAGAAAAGACCAGTAAAGACTGCCTGTTGGCATCAGGTTAATTCCCAATCAGAGAGATCCCACAGAGCAGAGAACTGCCTCCCACAGGATTCCAAGACCATAATGTGAATTTAGGAGAGCAGACTGCCTCCCTAAGAAAGCAGGTCTTTCTCCTACATATTAGCTAGAGGTTCAATCCATCCATCACCACCTTTCAGTCAGCAGGCAAGCACCTGATGACAGTATGTTTCTTGTAATAACTATTACAGCCAAGAACACACTCCTGAAACGTTCTACACTTCCCCATAGTTTTATACAAGACTGCTTTGAGTTAGTCAACTTGATGGCATGTGACAACAAAGATTTTCCCAATTTCAAGTGCAATGTCATCCTGGAATATAAGCTAGGAAGTAATCTTAGCAGAAGGAGAACCAGGAGTTAAGCCATTCAACTCTCCTTCTTTCCGGATGAAAGTAACTTCACAACTGATCTCACACCTCTTCGATCTAAGAAGCTAAATGAAATGGTGCCATTTTGTAAAATCAAAGACAGTTTCAACAATGTCAATGGATTTGTTTCATGGCTGTCATTCTAAATCTACAGCCCATGAGTCATTAAAGAACTGCCAAACAGTATTTCTTTAGCCGCTCTAGTACTGACATAGTACTTGAAAGTACTTTAAACATTCACAGGAAGCCAACAGAATTAAGAACTTTCCAAGCTCTGTGGTCTGATGTCATATCCTAACTGTTGTTGTTAGGTGCCGCTGAGTCACTTGCAACTCATAGCAACCCTATGTACAAGAGCCCTAAACTCTGCTCTGTCCTGTGCCAATCTCACTGTCTCTGATACATCCATCCTGATTACCCCAGAATCAATCCACTTCATAAGAGGGCCTTTCCCTCCTGCGCCGTCACTCCACCCTCCCAAGCATGATGTACCTCTCCAAGGACCTGTCCCTCCTTTTAACATGTCCAAAGTATGTCAGACGAAGCCTCAGAATCCTTGTCTCCAAGGAGCCGCCCAGTTTAAACGTCTTCAGGATGAATCTGTTCTCCTGGCAGTCCATGGTCTCTAGTACTACAGCTCAAAGGCATCAATTCTCGTTCTATCCTCCCTAGTCACTGTTCAACTCTCTGACGCATAACAAGTGACTGCAAAGACCATGGCCTCTATCAGACACACCTTAGTCGCCAGAGAGACACCATTGCTCTTCATTACTCTGGAGAGGTCCCTAACAGCAGACTTTCCCATTGCAATACGTCTTTTAACTTCCTGGCTACTGGTGCCAAGAGTGTTGACTGTGGAGCCAAGCAAACTAAAGCTGTGAACAATCTCAATCTCTTCACCATCCATCCTGATACTGCCAATTGGTCCAGTGGTGAGAATCTTTGTCTTCTTGACATTGAGCCTCAATCCATATTGGAGGCTGCAGTCCTTGACTCTGCAGCAAGCGCTTCAGGTCCTCCTCAGTTTTCAGCAAGCAGGGTTGTGTCATCCGCATAATCTTCCACCAATCTTGACCCCACATTTCTCCTCATAAAGCCCAGCCTCCCGGATAATCTGTTCTGCATACAGGTTGAAAAGGTATGGAGATAGGACGCATCCCTGGCATATGCTCTTCCCAATTTTGAACCATGCAGTGTTTCCTTGCTCTGTTCTGACTACTGCCTCTTGGTCCAAGTATAGGTTTCTCATTAGCACAATCAAGTGTTCTGGGATTCCCATTCTTCACAGTTTGTTATGATCCTAACTAGCTAAACTAAAATGCTGCACGGTGAGGGGTTAAGCATACATTTTGGAGCTGGGCTCTCTATTTGCATTTCCTGGTTCCAGCCATGGCCAAGGACATAAAACTAAGAGCTGAATTTATAAAATATAACTGTTATGGGTAAGATGATGGGTAGGCACACAACTGAACATTTACTCTCCCTCTCAGAAATCAAGAGCTTTTAAAAAAGAATTCAGAGCAACCAAATCTACTGGCCCCTTGGATTCTGAGCATCTGAAAGATGCTAATGCCAGCAGTCCACTGTGCTGCTGTCATTGTATCCAATGATCGAATCCCCACATTAGGCTCATTACAGCTCTCCAGAGTCTGCCATCCCAGGAGTCGACCCTTCATTTCCCCCACTTAAGTCATCATTCAGCTTCACCTGAAGTTTTAAAGTTCAGGTCTATTCTGGCTTTGTTCGATCAGCCATTACTAAACTGGTTCAAACCCTTGCTCTGGAGTCAAGATAAACATTCCAGTAACTAGAAAGCATAGGAAAAATACGTCCAAGAGCTACAAGTACTTTGGATACTCTGGTGGTCTAGCAGGTAAGAAAATTGCACTGCTTACCCAAAGGCAGGCAGGTCGAATCCACCTGCTGCTTGAGGAGAAAAGATGGGCAAGCTCCTCCCATGAGATTCAGAGCCTCCGAAAAGCGGCTAGAGGCTCAACTATGAGGTGACTAACTTGACTCCTCTTTGAAAATGATCCCTGGCAGCACAGCAGTTATGCATCAAGCTGCTAAGAAAGGCATTGGGTTCAAGCTCACCAGCCTCTGTGTGTGCCAAAGATGTGGTGGTCTACTTCTGTCAAGACTTACAGATTTTAGAAACTTACAAGGCAGTCCCACTTTGTCCTACAAGTTCTCTGAGTCAGAACTGACTTGTCAGCAATAGTATTCCCATTTGGAACAACTGGATCCTGGAAAAAGGAAGCCAGAAGGCCCTTAGAATTGAGGATGGTGAGAACGTGTCTCACACTTTGGTCTTATTGAGAAGGATCAGTCTCGGGATGGCATCCCATTTGGTGGAAAAAAAGACAAACAACAATAAATAAAAAGGAAGCCCCTCAACAAGATGGATTGACCCCGTGACTCTAACAGTGAGCTTAAATATAGTGACAAGTGAGAAAGACGCAGGGTGACGGTATTTCCTTCTGTGGTACACAGCTCATTACAAGCTGAAGGCCCCTAACACATGAATATCCCATGGACTAATAAAACAACAAACAGATGTGTTCTGAAGAAAGTGCAGCCAGAGTGGCTCCCTGGAAGCGAAGATGATGGGACCTTATCTCTTATACTTATGTATGTATGTTGCTGTTGTTGATTGCCTTTGAGTGGAGCAAGACTTATAAAGACCCTATAACAAAAGGCCTGAAGCCCCTCCACAACTATGGACATTTATTTATCAAAGTTCATCAGATTTCCAGAGGCACGTTATTTAGAAAGTGGATGCCACTCCTGCTTCCAAATGAAATGTATGTTGCTGGGAGAGGCTATTCATTGGAAAAAAGACATCATGCTTAGAAAGATGATGAGATCAGCAAAGGAGAGGAAGACCCTCCAGGAGATGGATGGAGACTGTTTGCAGCCATGGGCTCCAGTGTGTCAAAGGTGACGATGGCGGCACAGGATAGGGCAAGGTTCCCGGAGTCGTCCTCAACTCGGGGGCACCTGACAGCCACAACTTTCCCATTTCAAGGAAATCAGAGCGTATGTGCAACTCGATACAGGTTTTCTTTTCTCCTCTCTAGGACACAGATGCATCTGCAAGTTCCATCTGCAGCCCTTATAGGAGCGAAACACAAAAGCGACAACTCAACACCCGTTTGCACGCTCTTTTCCAAGGGTGGAATCCACGTCCGGACTCACCTGTAAAGCATCTGCCTGGGACCAAGTGTCAGAGAAACCAGCACCCAGGTGGCCGGGATCGGGCGTCAGGCTTTGCGCTCCAGAGTCACGTGCCACCGCATCCTGCTCACAACCACTGAGCCACCCGTCCCCGGGGCCGCCCCGGGCCCCCCAACTTCTCCCGAGGCCCCGAGGCCGCGCACCACGCCTCGGAACGGGGCATGCCCCCGGCCACCCGGGGCCGCCGCTCCAGAAGCTTCGGGACGGGGGGCTTCCCAACCTGGGGGAGACGAGCACGGTCACTACAGC